TCAGCTACCAACACTAGGGCTGAGAGAACAAAGTGAAGAGATTGGAACTATTAAAACTTGGGAATGTAGAGGAGGGGTCCTGCAGAACTGAAACATGACCTCTGAAGAAGAGGCACTGGCCTGCTGGTGCTGGTGTCTCTGAACTCTGGGGAAAGACCTTGTACACCTGGGGAAAGGGCACCAGCTAGCTGGTGCTGGGGTCTTCCCTGAGCAGGGGAACAATGAAGCTGGTTCTGGCAAATGTTGAAAACTGCCAACTGGCTTCAGTGGTCCTGTGGGAAAGAAGTGCTGCCTCCAGGGTGAAGTAATACTCCTGGGATGACATTCAGAGAAAGAGCAAGCAGGTTGGGAGCAAACAGGTAACAAATAAAAGGAACTAGTCCCTTCCTCCTCCAGCCTTGCAGAGGCTCCTCTATCACCTCCTGTTAACAGAGCATAACCTGGAGCCAGCTCACAAAACCAAATTATAGTTTTGCAGAGTTCCAGCTCCAACACCAAAAAAGGGTGTAGAGAAGGGTGGATTTGGAGCTGAGGTCAGTAACCTGATAACCAGCACATTTACCTTCTAATCTGACTTTAGCCAGGCGAATCCTTCCTAGAGTATCATGGGTCTGGGAGAACCCAAGCTCTCCTACAATAGTTTCATTTCTTTGGTTTCAGAGGAGAGGAACAGAAAGTGACCTTCTCTTTCTTTTTGTTGAATTGGACTAGAGAAGTTTGACAGTAAAAGCAGCTATCCCATAGTGGCCAAGCTTCGTCTGTCCCTACCCACACTCTCTGCAAAGATCCTAAGGGAAAATGAATCCCTGCAATGAAAATTGGAGGAGAAAAAAGCCAGGCTTTCTTCTCAGGCTGCTCCTTTATACTTTTCTTGCTCCTCTTATAGTCATAATATCCTAAAATAATTCTCATTTTAATCTGATGTCATTTTTCAATTTTGATACATCTTTGTCAAGGGCCTGAAGGGCTGAATATAAAGAGTGTGCTCGTGCAATAAGTGAATTAAACTGACAAATATTACCATAAAGGTCAGAGCAATCCAGCAACACAATTTCAATCTTTAAAATGCTGGAGGATGTATCTGAAAAAAAACGAAGTATGGATTAATACACTAGGATGAATTAGCAAGATAGGAGGGCTGTTTGTCATAAAATAGATAAATTAAGTCGATGTTTGTGATGGGAAAATGTAATCTGATCACTTGTGGGTTTACAGAATAATAATGGTTCCTTCTGAGTGTTTTAGAAAGACCATTATGTATGCCTTGTGATCCACATGCTTTCATTCTGTCCTTTTGATGAGTCACAGATTTTCTATGAAATTTTTATTATCATGAAATGATTCCTTTTTTATACTCTGTTCATTTTTTTCCCCCTGACTCAATCCTTCTCCTCCTCCTCCTAATTCCCTTTAACCCAGATCTGATTCTCCAGAAATCTTCATTATCAATCAGATTCTTGCCTGTTTCTATAAAATCTTTTCATTGGTCTTTATATAATTTTTCCCTATATTGTCATTATTTATTAAGGGAGACAGCTATTATTATGGAGAGATCTCTGGGACAGCAGTCAGCTCTTGACTTTGATAAAGTTCTACATAACCCTTAAAAAGTCAGAATCCCTGGGCTTTGTAAAATATAATTCCTAAGATTGTTTGAATTTCTAACATTGTGCTATTCTGGAGCTTTGAGGGAGTTGTTTTAGGATTAAGGACTACGGGCCTGACAAATATTGCTCACATGGAGGAAGAAAGCTTAAGGGCAAACCTCATAGAGAAAACGACCATGGTTTAACACATTAACTGCCCTGCGAGTTGTATTTAACTCAGGCTAGTTTTGAGCCTGGGGCTTCATGAAGCAAAACCTGGGCAAAACCCTGCAGTTGGTTCATGAAAATCTTACTTGTTGATGTTCTTATTGTTACAATTAATATTGACAAATTAATTCTAAAAATGTGGATTAAATGAATAGAAGTCAATAAATTTAATTTTTCATTAAATTAGAAACGATCATTTTGTTTTCAAAGTTTTTATTCTATTTTCTAATAAAACACCGTGGCCCCAAGGCAACATTTTTTTTCTAATGTGGCAGTCAATGAGTTAAATAACAAGTAAGACTTTTCCAAAATGAGGAATTTTTGTGACTTTCAACATCTAATGATCTTGGGTTCTGAGATTACAGTGGATTTTTTTTTTTTTTTTTGAGACAGAGTCTCACTCTACTGCCCTGAGTAGAGTGCCGTGGCTACAGTGGATTTTTAAATTTAAAATAGGTATAATAGTGGTGATCTGTTGTTTTAAAGTGAAAAGACAAAAATGAATAAATCAAAGTTGCTAATTATTGTAGGTTATAACTGGAATTTCTCAAATTACAAGTCCCTTACAAGAGGAGATAGAGCTACAGGTTTCCTTGGGTAAAATCTGATTGATAGGGAGAAGCCAAAAGTATAAGAAATATCTCTAAAACAGTTTAGGGCTGAAGTAATGGACAGAAAATTGAAATCAAAGGCCTGGAAGCAATGATTAGTGAAGCAATTAGGCTGCAACATCTGTCATTCTATTGATCTCTTGGATGGAGTCCATTTATCTGGTGGGCCAGGCCAGCATCCCCTGACTATTTCACCTCTCTCCATGCCTGATTTGGAGAAGGTATCCTTCTATATAAAAGAAGGCCTTGTTTTCAGTCAAGCTGCACTCTCCTGCCAGGACCCTAGCTCCTCTGCAAGGAGAATAGTGGTAATATACCTTGTGTTATTTTTCCAAGAGAGATAGATGTGTCTGATAAGTATCCGTGATTCTCTCATTCATTCATTCATTCCACCGTCCAATAAATACTTAGTCAGCATCTGTCATAGACCAGGCACTGTGACAAGTGCTGGTGAAGCTGTAGTGAACGAGCCAGATGTGCCCTGGCCGCATGGGATTTATAGTCCCTCCCATTTTAGATTTCTAATCCTCACTGGTTGTTGTGTCCGCCTCCTTCCACTTTCCAAGTCTCCAAAGAGTAGATTCAAACATATTTTTTTGCCATTGAAGGCTTTCTCTTTTGACAGATTAAAATTTATGTAGTGCAAATCTTAGAGCAACAATTCACTGGTTTTTGTTGGCTCTGATGCACTTCAGGTGATTCTGAAGATCACTCTCTGAATTTTTCTTAGGAGAATCCTTTAAGCAAAGGTTCTGCTTGATGGAATGAATGGGCTTCAGTGTCCTTTTATGTAGGTGCAGTGTTTTGCCTCCTCTTCTCACCCCCAATGCACTTGTTTTCTTTATAAAATTGTCTTGATTGTCTTTAAATTTTTTTCTATCATTCTGTGTGAGATGGAGACCTGGGATTATGGGAGAACTGCTTCATGTTACTTCACAACTCAGACAAAGCAAGAGAGGAAACCAACTTTTATTAATAATATTACTGCAAATAATTATTAAAACAATATTCATTATTATACAGCAGGCAGTGTGTCTTGAATTTCTAGTGAAGTAAATATTCTTTTCCCTGGGAACAATGCCCTCTGTATGAGATTTGATCAAGCAACCTGCAAATTGTAAGGCTTTAAATGTATTGTTGACTTATTGTCCCTTTAACCTGTTTTAATCTTCTTGATTAATACATTACAGGTCACTCTGGATCAAGCTCAAATTCTTTCAAGGATTTAGAGCTATTTTTAAAATTTAAGACACGTATAGCTTCTTTTGAAGTTCAATGTTTGGCAGTGTTGTGGTATAAGCCTCCCAGAAATGAGAGCATATTGTCATTTCAAACTGGCCCCTTTCAGAGCCTTGGCTGCTGCAGAAATTTGGCTTATGAATCGTTTGAATGAATACCACTTGTTGTTAATCCTTAGCAATCTGAAAAAAATCTCTATGATGAACCCAAGGATACCAGGTGGTAATATGTGAATTTTAAACATAATGTAATGTGTTATGCTCTGTTATTGAAATATAACAGAGTTCAGAATCTAATGCAGTGGATAGGAAACCTCTATTTTGAAAATATCTCTTTTTATGATGAGCTATTGTGATGGTATTTTATAGTGTTACAGAAGCCCCTTGAGATGTCAGTTCTCTCTGGTGGTGCTTCAATCATGTGTTAGGGTATGGCTTTTTCTAAATGCCTTACCTTGAAAGGGCCTTCTATGCTTGTAGTTGAGAAAGCTGCGGAAATGGGTTAGGCAGTCCACTTTAGAAATCCCATTCCAGGGTAGTATATCAAAAGTTTTTTTCTCATATTTCTGTAACAAATATACACTGCTGGTATTAATAGATGAACACTTAACACTGAAACTGGGCCTTCACCCTTTACTGAGTCAACTTAAGTTGACTGACAAAGAAAAAAAGTGTATGTTTGTGTGTGTGTCTTTCTTTGTATTATGGGAATTTTTAAACATATACAAAAGTAGTATGAAACATACACAAAAGTAGTATGATAAGTTTAGTTTTCTGTTCATTTTTGTCTCTTTTTGACTGCCTCTAAAACCTTGTTTTATTCTTACTATAGCCAGCAGTCATTGTACTGGTTCCAGTATAAAGAGCATGACAGCTACACAATTTATGTGTATGTACAAGCAATTTTAAAACTTTGCTTTCATCTGTCATTTCTGTTTCTTGGTAGTCAGATCACTAGTGTTAGGTTTTTACTTTAGGCATAAATCACCAGTCTCCTATTACAGGCTTTACGAATTTACACATAGGAATGGAGTGGATACTTTGAGTATAGATTAATAATAGGAAACGAGGTTATGGGAGGAGACTAGGCAAACGTGATTTGTATTTTATCAGAGTCAGGAATTATTCTGCTCGACAAGATAGTCTCGTGCATGCTTATATCCATATTTATGCTCTAAAACTAATATAAATTGGTGAGCTTTAAAAACATAAATAAAAGAATGTGGGAAAATTTTAGTTTTTGACTTTATTTTCTACTTTATTTCTACTGGTTATATGCTCAAGCCAGCCATAATAATTTCTCTGAGCCTCTGATTCAGTGACTAATCCCCTTTCAGCGGAACTCCCACCTCCATATACAGCCATTGCCAGTCCGGATGCCAGTGGTATTCCAGTAATCAACTGCCGTGTGTGCCAGTCCCTAATCAATTTGGATGGCAAGCTTCACCAGCATGTGGTTAAGTGCACGGTTTGCAATGAAGCTACGGTAAGTAGAGATTTCCATTAATAGAAGCATAAATTGTTATCTGACATCTTATTTTTAAAGGAAGCACTTCATTTATGTTACTTAAAAGTAGATGTGGGCTGGATACAAATATGGCAATCTTTTGTAGTACTTTCTTCTCTCATCATAGAAGGATGCCTCCATGTGTTTAAAGCTAACTCCATTAAGACAATTTCATGGTGAAATTGATATAGTTCCATTTGGCTTTTTACTTTCTAAAACAAAACTGACCATGGTAGTTATTTATAAATATCTTCAGTATTTATCCACATCACAACTAAATCCATTCTGGTTTTTACTAAAATGAAAATACTGTATACTAAACTTCATGACAAATGTGTACTTTGTCCTTATTATATGGAAAATTATTTAAACTTGTTTTATATCTGTAAGATATCAGTATTGTTTTCCTGGGCGTTGGTGATTATGCATTTATTATTGACATTTGTGCCAAAGGGTTTATAAATAGTTTGGTATTTTATTCTATCTATTCAATATTAACTTAGTGAAATGTTAAAAAAATTTGAAGGGTATTTTTTTTTAATGAACTTTCGGGAGCAACTAAATTTTAAGAAAAAATTTTATAGTTTCAAGTAATAAACTGGTAAAGTGTATACAGGTTTAGATGAAATATGTTTCTACTATCATAGTTAGGCTTTATTTTTAAAATTTCCATCTCTTTCAAAATCTACAATTAAGTATTAAGTTAATTTTTGGTGTTTGTATTTTTTCCTCTTTAGAAATATCTTTAAAAAGTCAGCTAGTGATTACTGTGTCTTGAAGAGCCATAAAATATGGATACTAGACTTTATATGTTTTATAGAAAAGTCATAAGACCTTAAGTCATGAAGCAATATATTTCATTGTAAATAATTTTTTCTATAAAGGACATCATTTGGAGAAGGACTTTATTGTATAAACAGATTATACCTACCAAACCAGCTATTTTCATTATAAGCTGAACACTGACTAGTGAATTCAATTAGCATTAACTTCTTTAGTTCTCTTTGCAGAGCTGACAAGCAAATAAGGGTTGTTAGATATAAATAGCAATTACAAAAAACAGTGCCTTATAGGTTTTTTGGATTTGATTTTAGTGTTAATTTCTTCTCCAATTCCTTCACCCATACCAACTTTTGTTGTTTAATGAGAAGAAAAAAAGAGTTTTAAGTTTTATGTTTACACTTGGAAGTAACACAGGACAGACTAGGTCATTCACACAGGCATCTCAAAGTCCCCATGGATTTAGCAAACAGCATCAATCTGACCACTTAGAAAGGTTGAGTGCATACAAGATCAATGGGCCTGGCAACGAGTATACTACTTCTGGACATAAGAGAAATTGTGCTGAAGTTTTTACATAATTACTGCCCCTCTGGAGTAAAGAAATATCAATAATTCTAGAAAAAATGAATAGTGTCTAATCAGATTGCCTTGTGTGGAATCAGTAACATTACAGAAGAGGAAAACAGTGGGGGAAAAAAAAGTCTTCGTGAAGTGCCTTAACATACAACTTGCTAATGTTTCAAATGTAACTTGATCTTAAATTTATGAATGAAGAAGTGTTAGGCACCTAGGAGCTTCTTTGGAGAAGTTCCAGGTTGAAAACAACAAATATAAAGGGCTAAGGTCCAACAGAGCAGTTCCCTTGTGTCTGCTATCACTGTCCCTTGTTCAGTTTTGCTGTGATTCATTTTCCCTAGGTCACCTAAAACAAAATATCAATGTATCTCTCCTCCCACGCAGCCACTCTGACAGGAACCTGATATACCTGTGGAGATTAAAAAACAAAACAAACAAAAAAAATAAGGTTAACAGAAGTCCTTTTTATTTCAGTAGATAGAATTGGGAAGGGAAGTAAGGATGTGCGTGTTGTGTGTGTGAGAGAAAAAGAGAGAGACGTGTAGAAAGCAGAATGTAAGCTTAAAGGACAAATTATTTCTAGGACAAATTAATGGAAAATTTGAGAAGTCCTGGACAAAGAGTGGCGCATTAGTTGACTGTGTACGTGAGTAGGAGCCTGAGATTTGGAGGCTGACAGGTTGGCGTTTCAGTCCTAGCTCTGCTGCTTAGTAGCTGTTAATGCATTTCCCTGGGGACTTCTCTAAACATACGTATTCTCGTATAAAGTGGTATAATTATTATAATAATACCTACCTCATTGGGTCGCTGGTGGGACTATAGGGTTCAAATGCTCAACACAATGGCCTGGAACATAAGAATTCATTTTACCAAGTAAGAATTTTAAAACTCATGCATAAGTGCAATGTCCAGGTCCTTTTTTTTTCCTCACTTCAGCACAGGCCAGACATGACCAGCATGGTCTAGCACCAAGGAGAGGCCCAGTGCTAGGTCAATTGCCTTGTTTTAAAAATGAGGGAACTGAGGTGTGAAAGTGAGGTGAGAATAAAATATAAAAACAAACACTGTCATTTGTCAAGCACACATTTACTTAATGGTAAATTTCAAATATTCAGAAATCAACCCAATTTATATTTTTCTTGATACTTTAGGAACTGTAGGTAAACGTTTGAGAGGCTTGTGAATTTTATATATTCATATTTAGTTATCTTTAATGTAGTGTAGAGGCTTATTGCTAACTTTTATTTATTTCTACCAATGTTATTTACCAAATTTTTTTTTAATTATTGCACACACAGAATATATGCCAAAATAGTTGTATATAGTACAAACAATTCCCATATGCCCTTCCCTCACGTTCCCCAAATGTTAACATTTTACTACAGTAGCTTTCTCTAAATGAATAATCTTTTCCCAAAAGCTTTTATGATAATTGCAGACATGGTGCTCTTTTACCCCTGAATATTTTAGTGTAAATTTCCTAAAAACAAGGTTATTCACTTATACAATCACAGTACAATTATGAAATGCAGGAAATTAACATTGATACAATAATGTTATCTAATCTGCTAACCTAATTTATGTTTTCCCAATTTTCCCATTAATGTCCTTTATGAAAAAAAAAATCTGGTCCAGCAGTCAAATCAGAATCACATGTTACATTTGATTGTCATGCTTCTTTAATGTCTCCTTGTCTGAAACTTTGTCTTGTATTACCTTTACATTTTCAAAAAGTACAAGCAAGATATATTGTAGAATGCCTCTCAGTTTGAGCTTGTCTAATATTTCCTCATGATTAGCTTCAGGTTACACATTTTTGACAGAAATGCCACAGGAGTGATGGTCTGTTCCTTTCAGTGCATCATAAATTATTTAGTTTAACAAGCTGATGTCCCACTAAGGTATTAAATACAAAATGTCCTATTTCCTTAAATACTAAATTTGACAATTGATATCTCTGATATTTCACTTTGACACTTACTGTTTTATTTTTATTGTGAAGATACATCGTCAGTCTTTCAAACACACGTTTTGGCTTGTGATTATTTTTCAATTTTTTTTTAAAGCAATGTTTGTGAAACTGCAGATAAGTCAAAAATTTGTGTTGTTTTTGAATATGAGTCCCATCATGGAACCAACGCGGTGTAGACAGCCAGAAATATCAATGAAGTGTTTGGGAAGGATGTGGCTAATGAACGCACAGTACGTCCATGGTTTGAGAAATTCTGTCCTGATGATTTTATTATAATCTTGAAAATGAGCCATGTGGGCGACCTGAGACCAAGGTGGACAACGATGAGCTGGAAGCTGTAGTGGAAGTGAATCCATCTCAACCTACCTGTAAATTATTAATGGCAGCAAGGTTTCACCTTACTATTCCAACAAAATTGGATCATTTGAAACAAATCAGCAAGATAAAGAAGCTGGATAGATGGGTTCCACATGAGTTAAACGAGCATCAGAAGAGAAATCGTCTCGAAGCTTGTCTTTCTTTGCTGTCACGATATAAAGACAAACCATTTCTATACTGTATTGTTCCGTGTAATGAAAAATGGATTCTTTTTGACAATTTCAAGCATTCGCACAATAGTTGGATAAAGATGAAGTGCCCAAACACAGTCCAAAACTGAATATTCATCAAAAAAAGCTAATGGTGTCTGTCTGGTGGTCCAGCACTGGTTTTTGTCCACTACAGCTTTGTGAAACCTGGTCAATCGATTACAGCGGATGTCTACTGCAACCAGTTGGATGAAATGATGAGGATGCTTGTGATTAAGCGCCAAGATTGGTCAATAGGGACAGGCCAATCCTCTTGCAAGACTACGATCAACCATATGTCACACAAACAACGCTGCTCAAATTGCAGAGGATCGACTTGGAAACTCTCTGTCATCTACCATATTCACCAGACTTTGCACCAACTGACTACCACTTCTTCCAGGCTTCAGACCACTTCTTGCAAGGAAAAAACATTCAATTCTCAACAAGCTATGGAAAACGCCTTTTGCGATTTCATCGCCACTCGCTCTCCGGGCTTCTTCGTTGCTGGCATAAAAAAGCTACTGTTAAGATGGCAAAACTGTGTCAGTAGTTTAGGCGCATACTTTGATTATTTGTACTGCTGCTTGTTTGAGATATAATAAACTACACTTTTGATTTTAAATTGGACATTTCATATTTACTGACCTAATTTACTGACCTACAAACTAATTTTGAAATATTCCCTTAATAGTATTGCAAGAAGTACTTTCTTTGGCGTTATTTATTCTTGCTTTTAAATTTACTACAGTTTTTTTTTAAAGAAATACTAGCATGAAAAGCGATTATGAGTCTTTAAGTTAAAGTATATCTTGAAATTAATCACTTCTTGTATTCTAATAAGTAGAGTTTAAGAAAAATTCAAGTTCAGCTCAGCGCAGTGTGTCTCAGACCTGTAATTCTAGCACTCTGGGAGGCTGAGGCCGGTGGATTGCTTGAGCTCAGGAATCGAGACCAACCTGAGGAAGAGCGAGATCCTGCCTCTACTATAATAAAAATAGAAAAATTAACTGGGTGTTGTGGCGCTCGCCTACAGTCCCAGCTACTCGGGAGGCTGAGGCAGGAGGATCCCTTGAGCCCAGGAGTTGGAGGTTGCAGTGAGCTAGGCTGATGCCACTTCACTCTACCCAGGGTGACAGAGTGAGACTCTGTCTCTAAAAAAAAAAAAATTCAAGTTTATCATGTACTCCTGTTTCCCCATTATTCTTCTCACTGAGCTCATTGAGCTCATTCTTTCCAGACAGGTGCATGAATCCTCTGTGAATGTTTACATGTGGCCAGATAGATGACCTTGTCTTGTGAACTTTAAAGAGAAAACATCTCTTGGTGTACACTAAATATTCCTCCCATACTAAAAGGCCAGTACAAACTAATTTTGAAGTATGCCTTTAATAATTAAATCTCTACAGCCCCCCACCCACAAATTTCACAGAATGCTTGCCAACATTTGTGCTATTCGAAATCACTGGCAGCGTACTTTTCCTTAAACTGTACTTTGATAGCACTATAGGGAGCCTTAGTTTTAACAGAATCATTTCCTTTTTAAACACGAACAAACTTTAACAATCTGTACTTTGGTTAATTTGCTGCGCTTACATTTTCTTCTCTTATCTAGCCAATCAAAAATCCCCCAACAGGGAAGAAATATGTTAGATGCCCTTGTAATTGTCTCCTCATTTGTAAGGACACCTCTCGGCGAATAGGATGTCCGAGACCCAACTGGTAAGAGATAAAGATTCATTCATTCATTCGTTTATTCCTTCAACAAGTATTTATTAAAGGCTTATTATGTGCCAGGCTTTGTTCTAGACAGTCTTTGTGCTCAAAGTAATTACAGGACCTAGATTTTTTTTGTTAAAGAAATGATATGTTTAGTTGGAATTTAATGGGCATAGGTATTTGTAGGATATAATATTCTTAAATGAGCAATGAATGTTTTCTTTATGTTATGTAAGTAATTAATGTGCTATAATAAATCAGTGACTCATTGAACTTATTTAGAAATAACCAGTTATCTTATCTTTGATATAATTAATCTTAACCTGGAAGTGTTTTAGTTGTCATTGTGTATCTCTTTGTATGCTCCACTAGTCTTTGCTGAGCATATTATATATAATAAATTCTGGAATTATTTGCCCATGCCCAGTGCCATTATAGATGTGCCCAGACACAAGTATATAAGGACCTTAACTGTATTTTTTTCCTGTGATCTCTCTGGCTTTTCAATCAGTACGTGAATCATTTACAGCCCCATCTGATGGTAGACTAGAGAATAGAAAGGAAAGGAGGCTCCCATTTTGCTTTCTTTTTATCTTTGATTAAATAGGCATCAAGGAATACCAAACTGCTCAGAGAAATTTGGTTTTAAGCCAGGACTTTGGTACCTTAATGGCACACACATTTTAGTTGATATAGAATATTTTTAACTTATTTAATCTTCTACCAAACTTAAATTGTCTTCCTGGATAAGGAATGATAAGAACTGTTTTCTGATTTGAACTTAGAAAAACTTGGAAATGGCTCCCAAGGTCATTGATTAGGACCACGGCCATAATATATGGTTTCCCTCCCAATATGAAGATGCATTTTTTTTTTTTTTTTGTTTTTAAAGACTATTGCTATATTCTGTGATTTGGTTTCCAAAACTTGACACTTAATTCATTTAATTTATTTAAAAAAATATTTTCACTGATATGTTTCATATTTTTGGCCATATGTTGCAGGTTTTGTTCTCAGTCCATTTGTGGGATAATGAAGTTGTTTCCTTTCTCTTTCTGTAGTAGACGCATAATTAACCTTGGCCCGGTAATGCTTATTTCTGAAGAACAACCAGCTCAACCTGCATTGCCAGTCCAACCAGAAGGTACAAGAGTTGTGTGTGGGCACTGTGGAAACACATTCCTGGTAAGTAACTGGACGTTTGCCATAGGACATCAATCCGTAAATATGGGTCATGATCTTATAGCTTGAGCAATGCTCATAGTCTTGTAGTTTTGTCCAAGTGCAAATTGATTAAAAGATTAAAATAGAGTCTTATTTAGGAAGATAGTTAAGCAGAAGCACAGCTAGAATATACAGCATCTTTCGTGAATTAGATAACAGGTGCATCCTCTGATTGGCCCAATTCCCAAAAGGATTCTCTCTGTGTAAGCCAATGAAAAACAATGCCCCTTCCTCCAAGCTTAGCTCTGTGGGTATCTTGGCTTGGTGAGCAGCTGAATCTTAGCCCTATTCTCATCTACTCAGGAGAGCACAAAGTACACAATCTCATGCAGTGGCCTTGCTTCATGGCTTCTAGATTCAAGAAAAACTCTTAATATAATTTATTAAAAATTTTCTGATTTTTAAGAATTATTTTTGGTGTGAAGGGAATTAACACTGATACTCAAAAAAACCATTAGATAAAAAAAGAAAGTACAGGTAATTTGTATGAACAAAAGTTATAGAAGTTGTTGCTTTAATATTTCTAACTTAAATTCAAAGTTTGATTTTAAAAAAGTTAATTTCATATTGACTTACCCTTTCAGAAAGGGTAGGAACAGTTTTTCTTTTGTTGTTTAGCCTATATAAGAGATAGGATTTTGTTTAGAACTTGAGTGTTAAAGATATCTTCTAGAGTGTAGGTCTGGGCATCTATAAACAAGACCTGCTGTCGCTAAGGCATAAATGAGCTTAATGAAGTGTAGGTGATTTGCTTTATTTCTTCCTAATTTTTACTTCTATTAAAGTAGTTCATGTATATAATTCTAAATTTCAGATAAGACTGCAGTCTCCTCATCTAGCTGACCACCAGTTACCATCCCTCAGATACTTTCAACTCTTTCACCTGCTCTGCTGATATTCACTTCCATGTGTTTAAATTGTTTGCTTATCCTTTTGCTTTTTGATTAAGCAATTTTAGACATAACCCACTACCTTGTAAAATGCAAGGATTTAGCACCCGTATACTTTCCCACTCATATTCTTTTCCCCACTTCCATATTCTCAGTAGAGTTATAACATTTTATTCAATTAATAATCATAGCTCACTGCATCCTCCAACTTCTGGGCTTAAGCTATCTTCCATGTGCCACCATGCCTAGTTAATTGTTTTTTAAATTTTTTAGAGAGATGAGGTCTTGCTGTGTTGCCCAGGCTGGTCTCAAACTCCTGACCTCAAGTGATCCTCCCATCTTGGCCTACCAAAGTGCTGGTATTACAGGCAGGAGCCACTGTACCTGGCCTACATTTTGTAAGATTAGGTAAATTATGTTCACAGCTGAGCCAGGTAATATGGTACATTTTTCTCCTGTATGGCTTTTAACATTTGCTTGGATTTGTAAATAATTATCCCTCTTCTCTGGATTTTAAAAATTTTCTATGTAGAAATTATTAATTCTTCACATATTCTTTTATAGAACTATAAAATTCCTGTCAATATAGTCAAACACAAAAGAGAATCTATTATTTAGGCTTCCTGCTACACAGCTATCATCCTGGGACTTCCCTTTGCCATCATCCTGCAAATTCCTTTTACCTCTTTCCTGTGTCGGATCCCGTGCCATTCTCAGTTATTGGTTTATTCTTTTGTTTTGGTGGAGCGCATTTTCTCTTTGCTTTCTGGAAATATGCAGGGAAATAAATTTGAGCCCTTTTATTTCTTAAGTGGTTTTTAATTTCATCTCATATTCATTTAGAAATTGTCCAGATGTACAGTTCTAGATTGCCAGTTGTTTCCTCTCAGAAATTTGAAAGCTTCGCTCCATTGTTGATGAGACCAGTTGCAATTCTGACTCCTGATCCTTTTGATATGACATATTTTTTCCTCTTTATTTTCTCTTTTCCCTTTGATTTTCTCCAGTGTTCTGAAATTTCAAGAGGATATGCCTTAGTGAGGGTCTTTATGAGCTCATCATCTGGACACTCAGTGAGCTGTCTTACAGTCTACTCTATTTTCTCTGTTCCCTCTTTCTAGAACTCCTATGTTAGATCATCTAACTGACTCTCTTTTTTTACATTTTCTTTTAAATTTTGGCTTTCTGTTTTATTTACTGGGAAACTTCTTCTACTCTGTCTTCTAAACGTAATTAATTTTTTTAATTTTAGATGATCTAATTTAGTTTTTAATTTCCAAGAGCCTTCGTTCTGATTATTTTTTCTTTTTTTTTTTTTAAGGCATTCCCTTCTTTATGGCATCTTTCTGAAGCTATTCATTATATTTGTTTCTGAGGTATTGTTCTCCATGCCTTGTCTTTGTTTTCTCTCCACTTTTTTTATTTTTTTTAAATTTATTTTTTATATTTTTTTTAAAAGATGGGGTCTTACAGTGTTCTCCAGGCTGGTCTGGTCTTGAACTCTTAGACTCACGTGTGATCCTACTGGCTCAGTATTTGTTTTTCTCTTATAAAAGAAGTTTTATTCAAAATTTCATTTATATTTGAGAGCGAGTCACTGATTAGAATCTCAATGTATGCTGGTAGGGGATAATGATGATGACTTCTCCTTTTCCTCCTCCTCCTGTTATTTCTCCTCTTCCCTCCTCTCCTGTCCTTCCTACTCTTTCTTTGAAAAGCTGTCAACAATTAGTATCAGTTGGCCTTTTTTTTAGGGCAAGTTTCTCTGGGGAAGGACCCTCCAATCTCTTATGAGTGATATGCCTGAGAGACAGCATTCTAGGAGCTAAGAGAGGTAATAGGGGTGAAGATCTTATCCACTGTTCAGGCTACAGACTTTAATTCCTTTGTTTTTAGAATGCATTTTATTCTTGCCTTCTGTGCCTGGTGTTCCTAAGTCCATAAGCTCGCTAGTCAAATTTCTCTTCTGAATAAATCACTCTTTACTTACATGTGTTGGGAAGGGGTAGTTTTCTGGTTTTGTTATATGGAGGAAGAATTTACAAGCAATACTTCTCGTTGTTTTTCCCAGCTTTATTGGGGTACGATTGACAAACAAATTATATATACATTTAAGATGTACAACTTGATGTTTTGATATACATATAACTTGTGAAATGATTACCATAATTAAGGTAATTAAACTTTTTGATCACCTCCTATAGTTACCTTTTGTGTGTGTGTGGTGAGAAAACACTTAAGATCTACTTGTTTAGTAAATTACAAGTATATAGTACAGTATGTAAGCTATAGTCACTATGCTGCACATTAGATCTGCAGAACTTATTCATCCTGCCTAACTGAAACTTTGTACTCTTTGACTAACATCTCCCCATTTCCCCTCCTGCCCCCCAGCCCCTGGCAACTATCACTATGATCATGCAGTGTTTGTCTTTCTGTGTCTGGCTTATTTCACTTAGCGTAACGTCCTCCAGGTTCATTCGTGTTGTCACAAATGGCAGGATTTCCTTCTTTTTAAAGGATGAATAATATTTTATTGTATGTATATAACACAATTTCTTTATCCATTCATCTGCTGACAGACATTTGGGTTGTTTCCATATCTTGGTTATTGTCAATAATGCTGCAATGAACTTGGGAGTGTGATCCTCCTGCTTTTATTCCTACTGTTAACTCTACCTCTGAAAATACCTGGTAGGTCCAATACCTGACTTACTCTGCATTCTTCAGTGTGAGTCGGCCTGCTGGCACTGGTGTATCTTTCTATTGGCAGTCAAGTTTCAACATCCCTTACACTAAGTGAGTTGCCAAGTACCCATCTGCTTTCTGTAGTCCAAAAATTTGAAGTCATTTCCCTTCTGTGTTTTTTTTTGTCCTTATGGAATTATATAATTTTGAATTGATTTACTATAATTTTAGTCAGGTTTGGAAAAAGAAATAGAAATGCATGCATTTATTCAATTTACTACATTTAACCAGAATTGCTAGGATTTTTCTGATCTAATAGGACAAAATAAGTTTTTTTCCTTGCATTTATATTTCATTGCTTGAATCAGTGACTAAATATACTTGGTGGGGATAGGTAACAATTTTTTTTAAAAAAATCACTGTATATTGATTTAATATAGGGTAATATACTCTGTAGACATAAATAGATATTAAGTGAATTGACTAAATTAAATATATATTAAACATATTTCTTATCCTTTTCTTTCTTATATGTGAACAAATTATATTTTGAAAGTAATGCAATTTAAAATCTTCAAAACAGATTTTTTTAACTTATTTCAGGAATCTCCCTTTGACGACTATGTTGCATTCTGTCCTGTTATATTTTATATTTCAAATCCTTGCTTGAATACTCCTTGCAGTCACATTACAAATGAGCTGATTTCATTTATTCAGTAATATATACTGAGTATGTACCAGGCACTGGGCTAGATACTGGGGAAACAGTGGTGAACTAGAAGCACAGTCTCTGTTTTCGTGGAACCTTATAATCTAATAGGAGGGAAAAGACATTTATTATAAAACAAGAATTATATGAAATGTGTTTGGACTAGATAGTGAGATAGTGTGTGTGTTCTTAGTTCTTAGTTCTTAGTTCTTAGTACTGTGTGTTCTTAGTGCACACACAGAAGCACCTAACCTAGAGTAAGTGACATTATCCTAAGAATAATGGAAAGCTACAAAAGAGCTTTTATGCTTAATTTTGTATATGTGGATGGTGTGTATAGAATGGATCACATAGGGCAAGCCTATGCATAAGACTAGATGCTTCGCTTTTATTATTCAACAAAGTGATGATGATCATCATCAGGAATAGCATAAAGAATCTGAGAGAGAGAATTGACTGTACTGTTAATAGGATGGAAAAGGAAATGAGGGAAAAAGGAAAATCAAAGACAGCTGTTAAAAAGGCTTATATTTAATTTTTTGGAATTATCTGGCAGTGAATTCTAGAAAAGGATCCAAATTGAGAGTTTAGAGGGATATGTATATGCTATGGTTTTTAATGTTTTTAAATATAATTTATACATTTAGATATTTTTCCTCCAGAAGAAAATTACTAAAGTAATATGCAAGCCTGACACTAACTTCTAAAAACTGGCACTTTCTTATTTAATATTCAGTGCAGGCAAGTGAATCATATTATTATATTAACACAGTAATTATGATTAGAAACTTTAATTCTTTAGCTAGAAAGGATGTTTTGGATTAAAATATGGTATTTAAAGGTGATTTCAAAATTTCTGGAAAACAAAATTTTTGGCGATTAGGGGAACACTGATCACAACTATAGGGTGGGTATTGCTTTTGAAAGTTTCAGATTAATGAGAGATGCTCAGTGTTATGAAGACT